ACTTTCTTTCCATTTTTTCATTTTCTCATATTTTTCTTTTCCTTTATTTCCCCTCCCCTCCCCTTCCCACTCCCCCCATAACTTTAGCCCTTTTCTTCCTATTTCACATTGTCAGTTGACAATATTTCCTCTTTTTTATTGTATCTGCTTTCACCAGGAAAAGGAAGAGTTACTATTTTTACAAGGCTGAGCAAGGGTGGGCTAGAAGGTTCTGTGAGGCAATGAATGCAAGATGGGAGTGTGCTGCACTATGGGCTTTGTATTTTTCAAAGAAGTAGCACATATGTTTTATTCTTTCCAAGAATACAACAAACACCAGACTCTGGGTCAGACCCATGAACTGCCCAAAGCATTGTTTATTTCTGTCTTTGGTATGCTGAGATATTTTGTGCAAGCACATGTAAGTCTTTTGGGATGTCAGTCTCAAAAGGTTAGGAGGTATGCCAAACAGCCTGAACTCCTCTCATTAGGAACCGAGTCCTCCATTTCAATTCAGTGGCACTACCATATTAAACCTGGAAGGTTGATCTATGTGAATGGTCAGTAACTGGCTGTGTTGTTCATTACAAAGCGTATTTTGCCAAACGATTTCATGCAAAAAGACATGTCAAACAACTTTTGATTCTTTGACTTTCTGCTGTTATTCAAAATGAACTCCCAAAAATGAGTAGACGGAACGGTGGCCATATTGTTACAAGGTAACTCAGAATTTGGTTCTGAGTGTGGCTGACCACGGTATTGGCTGTAACAGTTTAGCCCCCCGAGGAAATAGATTGGTTCTGCTGGCCATGATGTGATCAGGGACAAATTCAGTTTTGAGGAGTATTTCTGTGAAGGTAAAGTGGTCAAAGATTTGCAGCATGGATGGAACCTGTTCACCTTAACCAGAGTACTATAATTTATACACATTTATGCTTTCAGCCAACTGGCTTTTTTTTTCATGTTTCAGCCTACTCACATCATCAACTTGCACAAGTAAAAATGAGATCCTTTTGTAGTGCTAGTATATTACAGGACAAACACTTGCCTTATTAACAGAGTAGGGACTATGCAATTGTGAAGGATGTAACATGAACTGTGTATTATAATGAGGTGGAAGAGAGTACTTCTTTAATACTCTTGCACTAAGGGTCACTGTGTTAGAGGATAATAGTTTTAAGTGAAGCAACATTTCTAACAAGATAACGAGGATAAATGAAACCTGCAGACAGTCCCAAAGCTTCATTTTTGCAATTGTTTATAATCTCTTCTTCTTCCAAACCTTTTACTATGTAGGAAAATTAATTTGTGTGTATCTCTACCCTCTGTGGCTACATGCTGTCTGATAGAGGAATAAACAAATAGAGCAATGGACAAGAGAGGAAGGAGCTGAGGCTGGGCGGAGTTGGGGATGCTTAACCCCCAAACTGAGTGATCAGTTCCAGAATAATCAAGATATGTATTTATGGTCTTAACATTAATCTTGATATTTTCTCATCATGAACAATATTAAAAACAAAAGACAGTATAATAGCCTTAATAAAAACCACTTGCAATGGAATGATCCAGAATAAATATAGCTTGCTTTTTAGCATGAAATAGTAATCTGTGGAACTGGTCTTAATGTTCTCTCAGCACACAGCTCTGTTTAATTCCATATCCTCTTATCTATAAGTCCTACATTTAATTTATTACCATGTGAGTTGATTTATAACTTGGCTTAGCAAAAAGTATAGTCATGATTAAAAGAATACTGTATTATCACAGCTGACTGGCCTTGAAAGCATTTATTTTTCTCAGAATTTCTCGTAATTTTGAAAATGACATGCAGATGCTTCTAAGGCTAGATTTGCAAGTTGTCAGGTTTTGTCCACCTGGCTGTACTTTCAGCAGTGGCAGGATTAGTCAGGGGTATGTCTAGTGACATAATTTTTTCAGATACTGTCTCCTTATCCATCCTTAGAAATAGAAAGTTACCACAGTAAAGTTTTAGAGCACATCTGCTTCAGGAAATCCAAGTTCCCTAGTTCATCTCTCACCTAGCTGGTATGACAACTGCCAACTTAACTTTTGCCATTTGGGATGCTGCTGGACTGCAGGATTTTTCAGTTTGTGAAAGGGAGGATTCACTTATAATAAATGAATGCTACAATTTGGACTTGCTGCTGTGACAGACCCCTGCCTAAAACAAAATGGAATTGGTTTTGGTGGTGGTTCCAGTACAGATGACTTAATTTGCAAGGCCACTGATTTCTACAGGTTGTTCAGAATTGGTTATTTTCCACAGCAGACAATTTCCTACTCTCCTGTTTTGACTGTGCAGTATTACTATTTAGCAGCAGTTTTGGTTCTAAGAGTAAATAAAATGCTCTTGTTCAACAAGTGACAAAAAGTTATTATGCTTTTATTCTGTTAAGAACATTATTACTATTCTCTGATTCTATTAGTTGAAAAATACGAGTCACTCTAATTTTGGTATTTTTAGATTTTTGGAATATATTTTTGACCTCTGACGAAAATTATTTCTCACAAGGGACTCACCTTAGTATCACCACACTTATAGTTCAGTTTACAGGGGCTTTCAATTATTCAGAAATATAGGAACCCAGAAAAGAATTAAAATATATGAAGGTGTTATTGAGACCAGAATGGGAGAAGTTTGATTTTGTTTAAATCAAATTTGATGGTGGGCCCTTCACAAAATATAAATGTAAATAAATCAGTTTTATTCATGAGTAGTTATTATTTTAGCGAACATGTTGTTCAGTTTTAACCTAACCTCATATAAAGAACTTTATTCACATACTATATACTCAGTCTTAACTTCTTTTAATTGTGAAATTACTAGGCTTTAAAATATCTGATATTTTTGTTGCATAATACAGAATGTACTCCTGTGAAGGATTTGTGTCTAAATTACTCTTCCCCCCATTTGCGTAAATCTCTTTCTCCTAATACATAGCCATGGTTTGTCAAAGCTCAGATGGTTATTACAGGTTATCTAGTTCAACTAGGATAAAAATCACAAGGGACGTTGTTTTTTTGTCTAAACTATTCTTGCTGAAGCAAGAAACCTCCAGAAATTACCTTTCCACCCATAGTCAGTTAAGTGTCACTAATTTTGTTTTGATACTTTGATCCCACTGATAAGGAGACATTCTTCTTCTTACAGTTTTGGCTAGACATATTAATAAACACCAAAATTATTGTCAGTGTCAACATGACTGAGTTTTGATGAGTGGAGTTGAAGATTTAAAATTTACTTCAGTGAATGATGGAGCATGAATTACTTATGCTGTATGTTTTAGAAAACAAATTATGAAGAATCTGATATTAAAGAGAAAATGTCCAAGTCACTGATTGAGAGATCAGTATATAGAAAATGTTGCATATTTGTCTTTGCTATAGTTCTGTGTCAGGCACTGAGAAGATTAATAGATGACCTTTATCCTGGAGATGCCCAATAGCTAAGTACTCATATTTTGTCTCAACTATCCAGTCATTTCCCACAAGGTATGGAAGGCAGGCCTTTTTGTGTTAGTTTTTAAACACCTGCTCTAGTTTCATTTTTAGCAGAAGGAGCTTAATAAGAGTATTGATAGATACATATCCACAGAGATATGCTTTAATAAAAAAACATAAACTTCTCAGAAGATCTGACAGGCTCTAATGGATAGATATGGCAAGACCCTGGGAAAGAATAAAATTGATTTCTCAGAGGTCTTTATATTCCCTGAAAAATTGGAAAGTTTCAGGCTAAGGGCAGAAGACCAAAAGAGGTTTTCTTTGGCCCCCTTTCCTCTTCTGGGCCTTTATATCCACAAAGAGGTAAAGAATAAATCCATGACTTCTCTCATATACACTGAAAATAATTCTGCAACCCAAGGAATAATGTCCATCTGGTCTTCCATCTGCCCCTACAGTAGCTTGGAGAGCCCTATGGTCCATGTGGGAACCATTGGTGTAAGGCAACCACAGATTTTGGAGAATGGAATATTTAGTGCTTTTAAAATTTCATTTTTGTGCCGGACGTGGTGGTGCATGCCTGTGATCTCTGAGGCTGAGGCAGGAGGATTGCTGCGAGTTCGAGGCCAGCCTGGGATACATAGTCAGTTCAAGGCCAGCCTGAACTACATAGTGAGATCTTGTCTCAAAAACGTATGTGTTTAGGAAGAAGTTAAGAACTTTGATTGATTTTTCTTTAGCTTTGTACACTACTCATATGAGCTATGAGAGAAAAGTCAGCTTCCTTTGGACTGTATGATAATCAGTAAAAAAGCACATTGCCTTTTAAGAACATCAGCAGTAAATTGCCCACACTTAGACTACCTTTTTAAAGGCACTATCACAAGTTTCTTCCCCATTTCAAATGGATATATCTTCTTGGCAAATTGCAGTAACTGCAGAAAGGCCCCGCCCCAAAGTGATTTGAAGTCTTTAGATCTTAAATTGTCCAATCTGAATAAGTCAGGTTTTTTTTCTCTTATCTGAAAGTATTTGCTTGGCTACATGGAAGTCAAAGTTTTAAACATACTAGACAGTTTGGAAGGGTATCAGCACAAGAAATTTTAGAATGTAATCTCAATTGGTGAATGTACCTGCAAAACAGGTACATCTCTTTTACTATCTCTTTAAAATCAGGCTGTTTACTATCTCTTTTAAAATCAGTTCCCTTTGTCTAGTTCATTATTGCCATCAATCACAATTTAGGAGTAAGGGCAGGATTATTGCCATCTACTCTCTTACTCTACACATAGTCCTAGAATGGTTCTTTCAGGTTTCTAGACAAAATAGCATAGCCCAGCATATGTTAGGCACATGCAAATCAGTACTTTTAGTCTCTATAGCTATGATTACTGGCCTTCAAATCCAAAGTCAAAGCTTTAGCAAGAGAAAACTGATGTGCACTTCTGAAAACCAGAGGAAAGGAAAAACTACATTCTTTTGAAAGTTAAATTATAACCATTTCTTTTTGTTTCTATGAAGAAGAATGTACTAATAAAGCTGCCAATTTCTTTCAGGTGGGTGTACATGGCATTAGAATAGAATTCATCAATGAAAAAGGATCAAAACGCACCGCTACCTATCTACCGGAGGTTGCAAAGGAGCAAGGTCATTGTTGTACTTTATTTCATATGATCTGGTGAAGAATTGAAATAAATACAAAAACTGAAATGTGATATCTGACCTTGCAGTTATGTCTGATAATTGATCAGTATCAAAGGATGAGAAATAACTCTTCTGTCACTACCACTGCAATGTCTATATCAAATTGGTAAATTACTCACATGGAAAATGAATCTCTGTCCTAAAGCTTGACAGCATAAACTCACAGATATACACTGAAAAAAGCATGATTTTTGAAAGTTAGGTTTTATTTTAGGGAACAATTTGCTGGTAATCTGAAATGCCATTTTTCTCTTATTCCATTGTGTTGGAAGTAGCCCTGTAACTTAAACAAGCCTTTAATTTGACAGACACATTGTTCATTATCACTGTCAGTATCTAATGTTTCATTCTTAGGTGCCTGCCCTTATTCATTCTTCTAATATTAAGAGTATAGATTTCCCACTAATATAGGGAGCATTGTGAATACACAAAGTATTAGTGACTTGTGTGCTTTATCTGCACCTCCTAATCAACATTTATTATTTGACAAGACATAGCAGAGACCTTTACAAACCAACACTGCAATACAAAATAACCTTACTCTGTAATATTCTGATCGTTTTAGTCACTGCTAAATTCTATCCTCATATTTGTTGAAATGAGTATCTCTTTTATCTTATAGAGCTTTTCTTGTCATCAGAAAGCATTTAAATTTTGGTTCCTATGTTTATTCAAACAAATATGAGATATGCAGCAAACAATTTAATGTCATTGAATCCCTAAAGAAGAAAGTCTTTAAGACAGTTATGTAAAGATATATTCGGATTGCTTTGGAAAATGTCTTAATCCTACAGTATCATTGACTCCATAATGCATACATAAGAAAGAGAGGGATATCATCCATGTCACAGTCAATAAAAATGCTCTTAAATATTGCACACAAATATACTTGATTGGTCATAGAAGATAACATTAAGATCAGCAATTTCCATGAGGTAGTGTAGGAGCCTTAAATACTACTGAATTGTCAGAATATTTAGACTTTTCCCTTTCTTTTAGATATATCAATGATTGTGGAATACAGTGATTGTGGTTTGTTACGGAGATATGACTGAGCAGTTTTTGCCATAGACTCTTTTCCTTTGAGTGTGGCTGAGATAAAGAAGCCAATGTTAGATATTACAGATAGCTAGAATTTCAGGTTTATGATGAACCTGTCTTTGTAGCTCTTCCATATGATTGTGTTTAGGACCAAAGGAGTTGATGGCATAGGCTACAGTGATAGCTGACCTCTACATAGTCATTTTTTAGTTAACCAAAGGTGGCTTTTACATGTACTTGACTGACATTTTATTTGGTTGACTCTCCACAGGATGGGACCATATTCAAACCATAGATTCCTTACTAAGGAAAGGAGGATACAAAGCTCCGATTACTAATGAATTCAGGAAAACCATAAAACTGACCAGGTATAGAAGGCATTCTGGCACAAGACTAATCAATACACTTTGATGCTTATTCCTTTGATTTCTTTTGTCTCTAATTATACTTGCTTCCCTTTTCTAAAACAATGGAAATAAATTGCAGAGTGATACTGATGGTAGGTATAATTAAACTCTGTTTGGCAGTAAAGCTTGTATGATGAATGAGCCCATCCTTTCCATCATTAGCTCTGTGTAATTACTCTGGTTTTGTGCAAACGGTTTTGAGGCTTACTGAAGAGAGTACCAGAATAAGCTATTGGCTAGCTTTTGACATTACCTAGCAGAACCTGAGGATTCTGATAAACAGTCCTTGAATTTGAATTTATCCTTAGAATTTTGGTGATATGTCCACCATGGAAGCTGATTGAAAACACAATTGAGCTAAACTTGAATGGTAAATAAATTTCATCATGGAATAATAGGGATACTTATTTAAAAGGAAAAATATCAAACATTGTAGGAAAACAATTGTGGTTTCCATTTATTTCAATTCCAGAAAATGGCATTGAGTGCCTATAGTCTATAAATGTACTCCTCTCAGCTCTGAGTAGTTATAAACTTGAAAACACCTCAATTTCTGGTTTTACTGAGTTTACAGTTGAGACTAGAAAGGCATGTACAGAATAATTACTATATGGTCTAGTGTGGTGCTATATGCCTGTAATCCCAGCATTAGGAAGCTGAGGAGGATTGAGGTGGAGGCCAGCCTGGGCTAGTGAGTTCAAAGCCAGCTTGAGCTGTGAAGTGAAACCCTGTCTCCGAAAAAAATTTTTTTCCTATAGGGCAGAATATGATGGATGATGTAAGATCATAAAGTTGGAAAGAGGAATTCCAACAGGGTATGGAAAGGTAACAGAAGGTATCAAAGAGAAGCTGGATTTGGGATTGGGCTTGAAGAATGGGTGGAATACTTGACAGGTGGAAAATAAAGAGGTTCCTTGAAGACTTGTCAGTCCAGGCATGTAGGTGGCACAGGAAAAAGTAAGTTCTGAGGAATGTGAAATAGTCTGATTTGGCTGGGCTTTCTGTGCACATAAGGGTACTCATTAAAGGAAAATACAGCCTAGAAGGTAAATCAAGTCAGACCATGAAAAGTCTATTGTTTTGGTCTAAGAAGTTTGGACCTGATTCTATAGACAGTTGGTAGGCATTATAGAGTTTCAAACAGATGGCCTTGTGGAGTATAAGATTGGAATTGGAAATAGGAAAATGAGCTAGAAAACACTGCTAATATCTGAGAATCTATGGCAGCATTCCAAAAGAAGTGCAATGGAGGGCCTTTAACTAGAGCTGTGGCAGGGGAATAGGAAGAAAGGCAGGGACAAGTATGAAAATATCATAGAAGAAATGAAAGGACTCGGTCATCACTTAGAAATAAGGGAGGCTTTAATCAAATAAAAGGAACCAAGGTCATCCTGTCAAGCAAGGTGGGGAAGACAGGGAGAGAGTTAGGGTTCTGGATTTGAAGTACTTCATATATCTATATATAAATGTTGAGTAAATCACCGAATATGTACATATGTGGAGCTTATGACTAGAAATCATAATTTGGTGTCTGTGAAGAGTTCATAGTTGAAGCTATAAGAATTGGATTCACCGAAGTGGACAGAATATAGAGTCACAACAACTATGGATAGAAACTTGGAAAATCCTCCAAAGCAGGGGTAGGATGAGCAGTCAAAGACATCAGAAGTAGTCTGGCAAGGGGAGAACCCATGGGATAGACAGCTTCAGAAAGAGTGAGGAGTGGTATCATAATGGAAACATCAAGCAGAACCAAAGGCAGAACGTCTGAGTGCTGCTTCCATGGAAGAGTGGGGACAGAAGCTAAGGGACACTGGGCCAGAGAGTAGTATGAAAGGAGATTGAAGGTCAAAACTATACATTATTCTTTTGAGAAATGTGGCAATGAAAAGAAAGCTAGACATTGGGGAAAGAGAAGGCTTTTTATCAGAATTAAAATATGTTGTCAATCAGTTGGAAATTGGATAAAGAAGATATGGTTTTTCTATTAAATGGAATATTACTCAGCCATAAAGAATGAGAAAGTAGATTCATTCATAGGAAAATGGATACACATTGAGGATATACTCCTAAGTGAAATAAATAAGTCACACGTGTAAATACCAAATAATTTCTCTGGTGTGAATAAACTATAATAGTACATAAGATCCTAATGATATAATAGACAATGTGAAATAGGAAGAAATGGGCTAAAGGTGTAGGGAAAGTAGGAAGGGTAGGGGAAAGCTAATAAGGGAAAAGAAATATGAGAAAATGAAAAAATGGAAATGAAGTGTTTGTAAAGGTGGAGAGGAGGAGGGCGTGAAGGGAGGGCAGGGCCAAGGGGAAAAAATGAGAACCAAGACCTGTCATGTAAAGGTACAAGATCCCAATAATGAATGTAACTGTACTGTATACCTAAAATGTACCAATAAACTCAATGAGGGAAAAAAAAGTTGTTGTTACTTAAGGCCAAGGGTTAATAGATGTTGGTAGTAAAAGGTCAAAGAGGGACAAGTGAAAGCTCTTGAAGATAATAAGTCAAGTGAATGAGATGCATGTATGATAGTTAAAGATTGACTCTCCCCTGTTTCTTCCTGTTAGCAAACTGGGACTCAAGAGGTAATTAACTGTCTAGAGCAACATAAAACAATGAGTAGTATAGCAGAAAGAGCACTGGCCTCAAGAGTTTGGATTCCTGTGTTCTGGTGTCAGTTTTGCAACTTACTAGCTGTGTGACTATGGAAAAAGTCACTGCTTTTTTCTAGGCTTCTGTTTCCTCATCTATAAAATTATCTCTTGAGTCCCTCAAAGCTCTGACAATGGCAGGCCACCTATTTCTTGATGTTAACTTTTCCCTTTCTCAATTTTCTTTCAGATACCGTAGTGAAAAGATGACCCTGAGTTATGCTGAATACCTTGCTCATCGCCAACATCATCATTTCCAAAATGGCATTGGGCATCCCCTTCCACCATACAACCATTATTCCTGACACTGAGCCGCACAACCAGTCACTGGGCCTCTCTGCAGACTTCTTCCCAGGAGACTCTACACCTTCTTGGTCTAGCTATCTCTTTTACTGTACTATTTTATGATGATAGTTTCCGTTGCCATGGTGAAGCTTCAACATTGTCACTTAAGATCATCATGGTAACGGGTAGGAAAATGGCATTTGTTAAAAAGATTGTTTTATTATTTCAGATCATTGGGGGATTTTTGCAGCATATATAACATTTTGGGTTTTCTTTCTTTACAGTATTTTGCTTTCCTATCTCAGTCAAGTTTATGTCTTTGTGTCCTTGCCTTCCTTGCTTTCTCTTTCCCTTTCCTTCTTCCTTTCCCTTTCCTTTCCCTTTCCCTTTCCTTTTCCCTTTCTCTCCCTCCCTCCCTTCCTTCCTTCTTTAAACTGTGGATGGAAGAAAGTGTGCAGATCTTTAAAGATTTTTTTAGGAGTCTTTAGTTTTTCTCAATAAGATAGTTATTTTTTGATAGCTAAGTTTGGGAGTAATTCATATCAAATTCAGGTATTTGTGTATTACCTGTTAATTTATCCAAAATTCATTTTGCTATGAGAGCTTAGAATTCGTGTCTTCAGTCCTGAAGAATATGAATTCCCCATGGTTAAACTATAACTTTAGTTGTAGTATCAAAAATTTGAAGATCGATGATAGGGCTTGTCACAGAGAGTGAGAAAACATTTATGCCTACTGTACTGGTTATCAAAGATAGATGAGACTGCCTCAACACTTTATAGAACCAATTTACAAACTAAAACACTGTTTGAAGTATAAACTGCCTTACAAAGAGGCCACAGAAATCATTTTGAAGAGCAGCAAATATTAGAGAGCAGATGCAAAATTTAGTGCCTTTGGGAAGAGTATAATTAAGTGGAATTAAGAGGGGTTAGAAGAAAGGCAATTTAGAGAAATATTCTTGTAAAATTTTATTGTTTCAATATGTGAAACAACAGATTAGACAAATTCCCTACTCTGAAGTATTTTTTTAGCTGAAAAAAATTTATTTTGAGCAAATAACCAAAAAGACATTTGTCTATATTAATTTAAATTTGTTAGCTTTAGGTTTCAATAAGTCATAATTGGCCAGAGACAATTTTAGCTACCATCTAAAGATATGGGAAAAATAATCTAGTAAAACGAAAGTTGATATATGCCATGATTTCAGATATATTTATCTATCATGGAACAATACTAGAATTTCAGAGATACTATGAATTAGCTTGAATCTCTTTCTGCACTACATACTTTTGATAGAAACATGTTTACTATGTTGATAAGATGTAAAGTTGGAGTTGGCATTCAGATAGGCTCTAGTTATAGCCTAGCTCATTTGCAGGGCTGTTATTCCCAAGATGCAAAGAGAAATTACTGATACGAATGGGAGGTCCATGTGTATATCCCCAGGAAAAATCACAGATGTTTCTGGAGAAAGGTGACCTTCATCTCATGGTAGTATATATATAGAAGAAAGAAGGAAAAAGGAAAGAAAGAAAGAAAAAGAATGAAAGGAAAGAAAGGAAAGAAAGAAACAAAGAAAGAAAAAGATTTTGGGAAAATTTATAATTTTTTCAAACAGGAAATCAGTATATCATCAAGTGATGAGTAAAAGTATGCTGCAGAATATATATTCTAAATTATAAGAAATGTCACTGAATATCAAAGTGATACAGCAAATGCATATAGTTGCTGTGACAGGTGACAGACTGCTAGTTCAAAATTCAAAAGTCCTTTTCTAGTTTGTGAGATACTGGCTAAATTCCTTCTGCTTGCCACTGGGGTAAAGCATACTGCTTTAGTTTTTGATGAGAGTTCTTAGAAGTTTGTTGATATTTCTTCATCCACAGCATCCATTGTTGAAATAAACATTTTCAGTTGTGATGCCTTAACTAAGAAGCCAATTGTTAGCCTGAAATACAATCTTGGTAGCCAGTTTCATTGAACCCAGAGATAAGTCAGAAAAATTTAGCTGGTGAGCTTTAGAAACGGATTTAAAATCCTGTTATTTCTACTTGGGAGCATTTTGGAGTAGATTAGTTTTTCAGTATAAAAACTAGTGGCTACCTTATGGAGACTTTTTCTTGCCCTTATAGGGAAACTGAGCACAAGTTGAATGATATTATCTGCTGCAAAAAAAAAAAAAAAAGATAAATGTAACAAACTGAAGAGAGACAAAATAGACCAATATCGTGAAATATCCACCTTATCCATCATCTCATCAGTTCAACAGGCTCCTTGTCCTGGATAAGCTTATGGTTAGAAGTTTTTTTAAAAGAAAAGATCTATTACATACACATATGTGTGCATGTATACATTTACTTACACATACATACATACATATGTGTATTTATGTACTTAACGGTGCTATTCAATCTTGAGCAGGTCACGTGACTGGTCATGCGGACTCTAAAATCATATCAGATTTTTTAAATCCTTGATATATGCAGATGTTATACAGATTTTCTTACTGGTGTAATAATGTTATACTGAAGAAATAACCATCCTGCAGGCTTCAAAGGACGAGGTCAGCAATATTTCCCACCATGGCTTCGGGGAAAAGGATAGTTTTGTGTCCTTTGATATTGAAACTGATGCACAGTGCATTTTTGTCTCTAAGTAGCTGTTGACTAAAAGACTTTGTAGTGTAAAGGGTGTCATACAAACTGCAATGGTGTGCTTCAAACGAATGCTAGACCCTTATACCTTTGTCTATTACAAAATTGTTAAACATGTGGTTTGAATTAACTTTAAATATGTTGAACTATGTAGCATGTCTTTAACTCAGACGAAGATTCTAATTGCACAGGTTGTGTTCTAGCCAGTTGTGGTTTATTTGTTCAGAAACACAAATGTGAACTGCATTCTTATCACCAGAATATTGTACAAGTTCAGTGATCTTTAAACAGCTCAGAAGTAATACTTGAACTTCATTAGAGTAGCACAAAGTTTACATCACCCCTTTTAAATGTTAATTAGTTCCATATAAGTTTTCGTTTTCAAATGCAACTGGGTATTTTTCCTCTTGGAAAATAGCATGTGTTTTACTGTGGTGTATGTAGCAAAAGGCTTCCATTTCTGGAAGGGTTTTCTTGTTCTTAAACAAGGTCAGCCAGGTGCCAGATTCTGAAAGAATAATTGTTCCCCCATCCCTTAAGTGGCCTTCTGACTGCACAAGACTGTGCTACTACCCTCTCTAGTCTCCCCTACCGTGAGAGGTTTTTTGAAATCGATGGTGGAAGTGCAAGGCTTGCTTCCCGTCTCCCCTCATTTAAAGCAGTTTTAAGATTTTTAGTCCATTGCATACATCCTAATGCCCAGCACACCAGAAGTTTGTATACTGGCCTCTTTTATTGTCTTCAAATGTGCGGAAATTCAAAACTGTCATCTGGAATAGATTCCATCTCTTATGTGTGTTAGATCAAACCAAAGAAGCCCCCAGCCGTGCCCACATGCTGCTTCAAAAGGCTGCCTTCCAGTCCTTACAAAAAACCTTGCAGGATTAAATGTGTTAACTTTTTTTATTTTTGTACAGTTTCTAAGTGATTTTTGCTAGTGATGTTAAACTGAATTAAATTTATTTGAGGAGTGTGAGCACCTCCTCCATCTAAATAAACTGGTGACTTTCCTTTTATTTTTAAAAGCAGAAACCTATTGTGTGCCTCTCGATTTAAGGGTTTCTGATTACATTATTCTTAAGACCAGCATTGATCCTTTATATACAAAGATATGTTTTTCTTGTTTTTTTATTACTGTTTCAAAAGAAAATAAACCTTTTATTTTGCTCTGGACCCAGTAACTGCGCTGGTACATAGACGCACTGAGAAAATAAACTTTTGTAACCGCCGTTGACTGCTTTTGTACAAAGTTTATTACTTTTGAAATATTTGGATCTAGTTTCTAAGTTATTTTAGTGTTTTATATGTTCCCCCAAATTACTTTGAATTGGTCACCAGCATAATGAGTTTTTGGTGATGCAATGGTGAGACTTGCAATGAGCAAAAAGCTACCTGGAGTAGCTTTTCTTTTCCTTCTTTCTTAGTAACCTGTTTTTTGATTACAGTAAGAATCACAGATTACCTGAAATCCCTTCCAGTTAACTAGGTCCTCCTTTCTTCAACATTTAATTGCTTAATAGTTTAAAGAAACTATTGAAAATGGGCATTTTATATGATATGTATGGCTTTAAAATATTAAAAATGAGAAAAAATATGAGAAGGTTTATGTTGGTCTGTATGGTATGGCTGTGGAAAGATATTGTAGTTTTGACACTATTGTTATTACCTTTTAAAATCATTTACCCAATAAAATGTTAAAACCAAGCTATCATTTGTTTATCAGCCTCATCATAGGCTCTTGTTCTCATTGATACTTTGTACAAAAAAGGTTAACAGCTGATAACGCTGAAATAAAATAATTAAGGAACTGATACTGATTTAGTTCCAAACAGCAGTTGGAAAGCTTACCTGCCCACACCTGCTCCCTGCCATATTTTTTGCAGATGTCGTCCTTTTGTCTAGTCTGAATCCTGGCTTGTTAATGTAGATTAACCTGGCCACAAAAGAGGCAAGCTTAAAATGTGAATTCCAGTGGGCAATTAGTTGTGTTTAAGCCTGTTCCAGATAGCTTCCAAATCAGTCAGTAAATCAGTGGGCATTTCCTTTTTTTCCCGTTGAGTTTATTGGTACATTTTAGGTATACAGCACAGTTACATTCATTATTGGGATCTTGTACCTTTACATGACAGATCTTGGTTCCCATTTTTCCCCTTGTCCTTGCCCTCCCTTCACCTCCTCCTCCCTTCCCTATTTACAAAAACCTTGTTTCCATGTTTTTGTTTTCTCATATTTTTTTCTTTTCCTTTATTTGCTTTCCCCTACCCTTCCCCATTCCCCTACAACTTTAGCCCTTTTCTTCCTATTTCACATTGTCAGTTATACCATCTGGATCTTATTTAAACTTTTAGTTTTTCACACCAGAGAAACTATTCGGTATTTACACGTGTGACTTATTTTTTTTCACTTAAAGAGTATGACCTCAATATCCATCCATTTTCCTTTGAATGACTCTAATTGCTCATTCTTTATGGCTGAGTAATACTCCATTTTATAGAAAAACCACATCTTCCTTGTCAAGTCTCCATGGGCATTTCCTTTTTTGAGTTGGTGATGGACAATAGCAGTGCTACCCAGGGAAATGACCTGAGAAGTAGGAGCCCTTTCTTCTGCCATGGAGGAAGGCTTGGCCATTTTCTCAGTAGAGGACATACTCTGAAAATGTCCAAGATGTGGCCACCCA